ATTTTTTTCAAACCCACCATCTATCTCAATGCAAGGCTCGCTTTAAAGCGCCAGGAAACGCGGCGATACATCACGGCCATGTTCTCAACCCTCTAATCCTGCTTCTTTAATGGGCACGTTGGAAAAAAAACAACAACTTATCTTCAAGTCCCCGGGGGCCATTCTGGTGCACGGTGTGTGTATATTTGAACCCGTTGCAATTAACGACAGGATCAGCCGGTATCATTTAGAGGTAATGTACAAATAATGGTAAATGATAGGAGTGAAGTGACCCCTTCATCGCCTCCCCCTCCACTCCACGTCGCTACCTTTGCATGCATTTTTAATTAACAGCACGATGGAGCTGTGTCACCCCATGCAAACGCATCCATAGCTGTAAATAAAATCTTTGGCGTGCAGTCTATCATAAAGTCACGAAGGTGTGTGAAGATTTTCTATTTATTTTTTTTCCCCAAGAACAAACACGATCAATAAATAACAGGATTTACATTTCATATTGCACTTTTTTTTCAAGTTAAAATTATTCAAATCCATACAGTCATTGTTTATTTTAAATACAGCGATAGTTATAGAGACCCCAGAAGGTAAAAAGGTCAATATTATTTTCATTCGTGTCAGTGCTCGTTTAACAGACATTTTAAAAAAATTCTTGGGTGGACTGTAAAAAAAAAAGAAAAAAAAATCTACAGTCTTTTGTTATTTTACGCGAAAAATGCTGATTTTAGGGGGCGATAGGTGCGATTGGCTCACATCCAGTGTTTTCAACATTAACAACATTCAGAAAGTCACATAAAAAAAACATCAACATTTAGGAAGCATTTCCCCTCCCCTATAACTTAACCATTTGCAAAATAGTCCACAATTTACAATTCACATGTTTTAAAATGAACATATCGGTGATGTCCCAAATAGGAACGAATAAAACTGCGAATTTGTCAGAATGTGTCCCCTTGTTTGTGTGTGCTGAGGATCTCCTCCATATGGAAAAGCGTGTTTGATGCAACGGCCTTGACTGTAAAGAAAAAATAATCATAAATATATGAATTATAAAACGAGAAATCATTTGGTTTTATCGAGACATTTTCCATACAGAAAAAAAAACAAAAAACAAAAAAACAGTGAGCTTCCTGTTGTCTTTTGGGCATCATATTTGCAAGCCTTCACCGGTGACTTCTTCACCATCTATACAGTTTCCTTTTGTCTTCGCCTTGGCTCTTTTGTATGTCTAATGACTTCCCTGCGCGGGTTGTTAGGACTTGACAGCAAGTCTCCAAACGAGCAAGTTGCCTCGCAGCCGCCTATTCAAAAGGAAGCTCCATCTCGGGTGCATGATTGGCAATTTTTGTCATCATGCTCGCATTATTAAGAGAGGAATTGACAAGAAAGAGGCGATGCAAAATGACGCGCGCCTGCGAGCTGATTGGGGGGGCCGGGGGGGTCCCCGCAGAGCAGAGCAAGAGGTGCTGCTGCAAACATATGCTGTCGGCTGCCAAACATCGCTGCCTTTTTTTTTTGTGGAGTCAAGAAAGATGGGCTGCACAAAATGCAGAAATGAAATCGAGAATTGGAGATTAGAAAGATGCAAGATGAGTCACAGTTTGGGGAATTTTTGAAACACACAAATGGAGGACAATGATTGAAGCTGACAAAAAACCGAAATGATGATGTATTTTTGTTTGTTTTTGTTTCATCTTAAAATAAATCAACAACTGAAGTTGTGGGAGGTCATTCACCGTTAAGAGTTGGAGAATTAGGGAAATGCAAAAAAGGGGGCAAAAAAACGATCGTGATTTAAAAACCCTAATCTGCATGTCTTTTTGACATTTGAATTAGAATTATATTTACCTTAAAATTAAAATTGGAGCACAGTTTGAGACGTTTTGAGAATGATCTTTGTACAAAAACTAACCAACAGTTGTAATGGATTAAAGACACCACGTGTGTCTTTTATTTAAGTTTTAACCTAAAATATATAAAATCATTCACCAATGTGGACCTAAAATGTTTCTAAATCAAATTTGACAAATTGGCCAATATTGGTTGAGGCTTCAAGCCGTTATTTGTATGTGCGTTTCAGTTGCCATTTAAAATGTAAAACGCCAATTAAAGTGTCACGTTATGAAAGGCGACGTAAAGTTTTAGAGAATTGTAGAAATGTAAAAAAAGAAATATCGATGATTTAAACTTAATAAATGTTGCTGTTCGGAAATGTCCCCTGCAAAAAAAAAATAAAAAGATACATTAAAAAATCACCTGTGTGTGATTGAATGAGAGATTTATTTTAAGGTTTGAACCCGGAAGTGTCTTAGATGGTAATTCCCTCCCATTGGTCAATTTGAGAAGTGATTTTTTTTTTAACGACTTCCAGCCTGAATCAATGAATTAGACTTTCAAAACAATAAATTAACTTTAATGGAACCTGCGTGACTTTTTGTGGAGAATAAAGGTGAAAAAAGGCACAAATCAGTCATCAGTGACACAATCTGTGTGACTTTTTTTTTAAGGTTGATTCGAAAATATTGGATATTTAGACAATTGTTCAGACAATGCGTGTATTTTTTTAACGCTTGCGCATTAAAATTAAATTGGTAAGTGGCTGACATTGGTCCATTGGAAACATGTTTTTTAATGACTTCTGTACTTAAGCATACTTTAAAACAATGAAACTGTTGTGTTATCTAGGTTTAGCTTCAAAATATTGGAGAGTATTTTTTTTTTACGAGTTGTTGAGATGGAGACATGTGTTGCCAATAACTGAACATGTTGCCAATGCGTTGTGTTGTGTGTGTGGTTTGTAGGCTCTGCTTCAAATTTTCAAATGATGGCACGTCATTTGCTTCTTAACGGAGAGGCTTTGGGAAAAAAATTGACAATTGTGTTTTTTTTTAAATGAACAATTTGGATGACATTGGTCTTTTAGCTTTTTAACGAGTTCAATAGATCGGGTATTCTAAACAATTAAATAAACTTATATTAAAAACAGAGAGAGAGGGATTGTGTGTCTGTGTGTCGAAAGTAAATCTGGGGTCGGGGGTAAAAAAAAAAAAAAAAAAAAAAAAAAAAAAAAATCGGGCCGTTGAGTGTTGTTGACAGTTATCTGTTGAGTGACGTCTCCTCTCGTTGGTCCGGCGAGGGCACGGAGGTCTTGCTGAGCACAGCCGCCGAGTAGGGCAAAAATCCACTCTCCGACCTTTGTCCCGAGGCCGTGCAGGTGAAGTCGGTGCCGGCGCCGGCGGCCCTCGAGCTCAGCGCGCCGGCCGCCTGGCTGCTGTGGCAGCTGAGACACGAGCAGGGCCCGCCGGCTGACGGAGCGCCGACCAGCCGGCGACTGGTAGAGTCCCGGGTGGCGGAAGCTGCACAGGAGCTCGGGCCGAGAGTAGGGGTGGGAGAGGGCGCGGAAGGTGTCGAGGGGCCGGATGGACGTGGCGAAGGGCGACGACGCCGCCCCCGAGGCGGCTGCGGCGGCTGCGGCCGCCGTCACGCCGACGTGCGGGTAGTAGTGCAGGGGCATGTGGGAGTGGAACGGGTACGGGAGGCTCCCCGTGGCCGCCGCGTGGGTCATCATGTAGGTGTAGAAGCTGGGGTCCGCCGGGTGGGGCCACGACATGGCCAACCGCTGACGCTTGTCCTTCATGCGCCGGTTCTGGAACCACACCTGACACCGAGAACCACCAAAACCGGTATTATGATTTGCCTCGTCATATTTTTTTCAGTTCAAGTAGGAAACGAATGAAACCATTGCTGAAAAAAATTTCGGACAAACTATTTTTACATTTAATATAAATTAACCGGGGAATATTAATATTAATAATCATAAAACAATAATGAGGACTATCAAATAGCAACAACCAATTCATTACTCTTTTTAATTCCGAAATTAATGATGAATTGACTGCACAGAAATCATGCGAAAATAACGATATTGGCACACGAACAGCACCACACGAGCAACAGAAAAAAACAAAACAATTACCTTTCATTTTACTTTTAAATTCGCCACGACTATTACCGCAAAAAAAAAAATATCCAAGTGAGAAGCAAAGCATAAATGCTTTAAAGTTTTCATTCATTTCTCAATGCGGAGAAGGCATCGCGCTGTAAAACAAACTTCCAAAAAACAAAAAATCCCCACATATATATATAGATATATATAGATATATATCTACATATATATATATATATATGAAATAGCACACTTGCAATCCAAACCATTACTTTTTACTTCCGTTTAAATTCACGATGCATTGACTAGTTGTGAACAAACTGCAACCAAAAATGTACTTTTGACTTTTTGTAAAGTCATCTCGAATTTACTATTCATGCAATAATTCACAAACATAGCTAAAGAATTGCCAAACGGCAGGGAATACGTCTGAGCATCTTTAGTTTGTGCATTAATAAATTACACACACACACACAGAGTGGTCTGCAGAAAAAAATAATTGCAGCAATTTCTGCATTTGCTTTACCTTGATGGTGGTTTCAGGCAGATTGAGAGCAGCGGCCAGTTCGCATCTCCTCGGCCTGGAGACGTAATTTTCCCGATAAAACTCCTTCTCCAGCCTGCCGATTTGCTCCCTGGTAAAGGCTGTGCGGTACCTCCTGACCTGATCAGCGTTGGAGTTGTTGTTGGACGCCCCCGTGGAGTTTCCGTTCATACCGGACAGTGAGCTCGAACTTGTGTTGGACGAGCCAGAATCTGAATAACCTGGAGGGGGGGAAAAAAACATGTATTTTAAAATAAATAATATTGATTTGGATTGTTTAAGAAAAGTTTATAAGGGCCTATTTCACAAATTTATTGTTATCATTGAAATGAGGATGTTAGTATCAATTTTCAAAACAATAATAATGCAGTAGTTCATTTAACGCTACCTTTGTTGTTTTCCTTGTGCTGACTTGGCGAGCGATGCGTGGGGCAGCCCACTTCCACATCACTGTTGATGTCCGATTCCTGGGACACTTCCGAGTAAAGGCTCATCTTCTTCCGGCTCTCAGACGACGAAATGTCCGCCGAGGGGCTGTGCTCGCTACCCTGGTGTGACCCGAAGAGGCTGTCGATCTCGAACTTGCCTTTACTGGGCATGTCCGCGAGGCTCCCGTGCAGGGACGCGGACGTGATTCTCGGGCTGAGGCGTCCTCCGTGCTGGGAGTTCTCCAGGGCCTCCAGTACAGAATTGCCGGCCGAATCGGAGAGCCTCTTGGCGGCCACCGGACTATGCAGCCCCCTCTCCATCAGTATCATCTCCTTTCTTATCCTCTCCATCATCAAGGCGTGCGGGGAGGATGAGGAGGAGGAGGAGGAAGAAAAGTGGTCCTGTGCGGGGGCTGAATGCGGGAGCTCAATCCGCATGCAAGTGTCTCTGCGAGGTCTCTAAAGCTTTTTATAAGCAACACGCAATAAATGAAAGAAATGGAGGAGAGCGTGCTCAAAATGTGCCTGGCATCCTCCCCTGCACGCCGGCAATATGTCATTCATCCCCCCCCCCTCAAAAAAAAATACTCTCTGCAGGCTGACGCGACTCCAATGATCATTTATTGTAACAGGTTTATCAGCAAATAAATAGGAGAGGGCTGTCAGTTGATGATGGAGGCGGCCTTCGGTCAGACGAATAATATCCAAGAGGAGAGCAGAAGAGAAGTGAGTGAGGATTTGAGGGCGCACCTCGCAGCTCTTTGGCTCTTTGGCCTCCCGCCTGGCTCACTTTGACAGTCTGATTAATAAAATGAGCGCTGCAACATTTCCCTCTTCATTTAGGAATATTATTATGCTTTGATTCGCTATTGTTTCCCTCCCCTCGCAGCCCCGCCGGCCCTCCCCTCCTCTTTCGAGCCTTTAATGCCACCCCCACCTTTTAGTTTATTTTGCTTCGTTTTTGGGGTTGTGCCAGTGTCTTGCGTGTGAATTTTAATGCTCATTTCATCTCTCTATGAGATGTGAGTTTTTTTTCCCAAGCCTTTTTGACGTCCTTATATATATATGCTTACAACGTAACTTGGTTATTGCACATTTTTTGAAATAAAGCAACTATTCCAGTGCTTTTTGCACTTTACATCTCACTTTACATCAATTGTAGTTAAAAAAAAATCATAATGTCCCTAAATTGTCCTACGGTCTCATCTTGCATTGTTTACACAGAATTTGCCTTATAAGGGAATATCAAATGCGTGCATTGCAAAGGGCTCTCGTCGCTCCAAGACTTTTAAAGCATCATCACAGGACTCCCCCGGAGTTCTCTGGCGTCCCCTGCAGGTTTTCACACACCATGCAAGCATTTTACATTTGCATATCATGGAGGGGCCTTGACATCAGAGCTAAATTCATTTCGTGACCATACGCAAAATACCACCCAATCATCTTGCCCCATTGAAATAAATGGAAATGCCATTAGTTCGTTTCATTCACCCCCCCCCCCAAAAAAAGACACCAAAAAGTAGTCGTATGTTCGGCAATAATAATAATAACACTGCAGTACTAATTTATAAAACATTGAGGAATAACAATTACGTTTTTGCATCATGATTTCATGCTTTCAATCATGAATGGGCGACTCAAACGGAGGAGAGAGAATTTTTCATAAGCATTTCTTCATAAGATATATGCCAAAAATGTCATTTTGACGGAGAAATATGTGTGAGCAGCCCCCCGCCCCCCATGCAAAAGTTCTCTTTTCCGCTCTAATTCCCATCGTGGGTGCACCATTGATACAGCCGCATCATGTTCGAGCCACCATATGCGTTTGTATTATATTAAACTGTTTTCCGTTAGCAGCAGTAACCGTTATGATTTTTCGCAGAGGATAAAGAATATATCCTTGCGAGTACAGTATCGCTATATTGTTAGTTGACATGTGTGGCTGCTCCGTTTGTCTTCAAATTTCTTTTGCTTAAAGGGATATCATTCGCACAACGTCAATCTTAATTTCATAAGACAGTCTTGGCGTTTTGAATTGTGTGTTAGCATTAAGCTGGCAGACTTTCAGGGAAAATTATGTGGTGTGGTTTACTTTTACAGAACCAATTCAAATCGTGAACCTCAGATCTGTGAGGCAGAGGTGCTAAGCCAGCAGACACTAACATGGTGCCCGTGGGCACCAGGTAAACCCCGAGCACCACATGAGTATCCCAGTGACTTCTTCTAAATATAGCTGACCAGTAATGGGGCAAAATGACTTCCTAGGAGTAGAGGAGAAATTGTAAGAAATCATCAACATGATCAGTGTCTTAAAATCAATAAATAAATCATATTAATTATTCATAATAACAATGATATTATCAAAAGTACTTGGAGCAAATATGTTATTTCAGAAGTGTGTATAAAACTAGTATTCCTTCCCATTAATCAGGACCCAAGGAAGTAGCTCTCAGTTCAAAAAGGTTGGTGACCACTTCTCACCATGCTAGGCATTAGCGATTAAGTTCGAGTGTATCACTAAAAGATGTCTTATATTTTAGGAGATTGCATTTCTGGATAGTCCCAATAATGGTCATGAAGATATGCTGAAAAAGTAAGCACATAGTTAGCAAGACAGACTGTGATTTTGTAAACCTGCTGTGTTTGCGTCCACGTTGTTGGTGGAAACAGTGGACATCAGCTCGTGACAGTGGATAAGTGGTTAATTTATTTTCAGGTGTGTTTGGCACAAATGACTCAGTTAAAGAACACCATAACTACCGTGAAACATGGTGGGGGCAGCATCATGTTTTGTTTTGTTTTTTTCATCAGCTTGATCTGGAGTCTTAGACAAGGTAGATGAATTCTAAACAGTTCCAAATAGCTGTCAGTGTTCACATAATATTTTCGGACTTGTGCTAGAAAAAAAAATTAGCAGGAAAAGACTACGAGAACATCTGAAATATATTTTGGGTTCATCAGAGGTATTTTAAATTTTCGCAGGTGTGTGCTGACTTCCGTTTAATATGAGTTTAAATGTGACTGTGTTCATTCTGAACACAGTCCCGTTTCCAGTTATAATGGGATGTGCACACTAGTGCAACTTGTAGGCTACAGAACATTTGTTAAGTTCAATTCGGTTGCATTTAAGTCATTCACTGTATTGGCAGACATACGATGTTAGTGTCTTTCGTCTTTTGATTTGAGGTTCCACTGGCTATTGTTATGTTTTCATCCAAAATTCTACTATGGTAATTTATGATCAAGTTATATGTTCATGAATGTATGAAGTCTTGTGGTAGATGTATAGTGATGTGCATGGCCTACATAATTGTTTCATTCCTTCGTCTTTTGTTTTTTTTTTGTTTGTTTTTTGTTTTTGTTTTTTGAGGCGTGGGTGTGTTAAGATGGGCAATCTGTGACTACTAAAGTGGTTTCAGTGTCCTTAATGTTGTTGCACCTTCCCAATTATTGCACAGGAAACCAGATTGGAACCATCAATCTCACAACTGTGAGGCAGACATTGAAATCAGTAGTCGACGGTGCTACTCTGATATGTTTCCATCCAAATTAAATGCCTAAAACAGTTTTTGTAATGAGTCAAAACGTTGTGAGTACCTACTTATTAATGTATTGTATTGTAATTGTGCATTTATGTGTATGTTGACTGCAGTAGGCAGAAGCCGCAGACCAAACAAGCTGAGAACATGTGGGTACTCGTCCCCATCTAGTGGACATTTGCAGAACTGCAACCTCTCGTGGCTTCACCATCCTCGCACGTGTTGGAACTTGGAGCCACTCGACTGTCTGCATTCACGTTGCGCCAGCTTTAAACTGATTCATCTATTCTAAACCTTTTCACTTCAAACTATAGACTAAGAAGTCTCAGAATAATTTTCATTGTGTGTTGTTTACATTTCACCCAACCTCCCAACTTCACTGCAATTGCCGTTTGCATCATCTAAACTGAGGAATAAAATGAAGCCAAGATGAGTCACACAAGATGAGTAAACGTGTGACCTTGTGTAAAATATCAAGGCCCATAGGCTGTGATTAAAATGAATACTAAATCAAACCTGAGGTCGTTTTTTAAAGCACTGCAGGGATTTATTTTGATTTTACGCTCCAATGGCGTCTGAGGCCCCGTTTGCTTGCGTTAGCTTGCCATCTAGTGAGCAATCGTTGCAGTTACAGCCAGCGCCCATAACGTTCATCGAAACGTCAGCCTTAAATGTCATACAGGTTTCAACAAATAGTTCCAGGTTACAATAAATAATCCCAAGTGGAACACCTTCCTTATTGTTTTTGTTGTTTTTCAATTCAGATTTAAAACATGCTCGACTGGGTGTTGCAAATACACAACCACCCACGTGACAGATAGCTCGATGACAGCCAGACAGACAGCGAGCTAGCTAGCTGGATAGTTAGATAGATTGATTTCACTTTACCAAGGGCATTATTCAGCTTTCTTCTGGATTGACCATTTAAAGTGTGAATTAGTATAGCAGCTTTAATGGAATACAGTTCAGGGGATACTAAACTGTTGTTAATTAATTGAATATGCACAGTAGCCACTGTGCGGAATACAAATGAATGGCGGCGAGAGAATTGCCCATTGGTCGTATTAAAGTGCTGACAGGACAATTTAAGGAGCCAGTTAGTGATTGTGTTAGCGTGAGCACAGAAAGTAGTCGTTTTCTTTCTCCTCTTTCAAGCAGTTAAACACTAACAATAATTTCTGGTGAGACACAGCAGAACAATAATAAAAGAACTGTGCAAAAGGGCTCATGTGCAATTCAGACACAAAAAAAAGAACACTCTTCTGTATTGAGTTTTACATTTCTCGTGACTGCGAGGCTAATGTATGAATAATAAATATAATCTTTAAACGTGTTTTTTTATCCGTTTTACTTCGACTTAACAGAATCCCTGATTTAAAAACGTTAAACATCTCACTGGTTGCATTCGTTCACTGTCCATAAAATTCCCAAGTCAGCATTAACACGACTCTTTTATCAGACGTTCACATGAGAGGTTGTGTAGTTCTCCAAGAAGCATTTTAAACCACTAAAAAAGATTCTATATTTTTAAAAAGTGGTTCTTTGACTAGGACGCATCAAAGGGAACCGCATTTGGATACTGGAATTTAGGTTTAACAAGTGGTTCCAATGCAAACCAAATGGTTCTTACATTAATCCTAGTATTGGCCAAAAGAACACTATAAATAACGCTGACGGGGAATACATGGAGCGAGGGGTATAGCGCAAGGATTTTTTTCTGCTAACTGGGCGTCCTTTAAAACAATCGAATTAAGACGGTGTGATTTGAACCAATTCAACAGCTGGAAAAAAAAACTCAATTTAAGAGCTGAAACAAAGTTAATTATCGAAAGCCAAAAATTAAAATGAAATACCTTATATTGTGTTTTGATCCTATTGAATTTATCTTTCTTTAATTGATGAGACGATAATTTCCCAGCGCAGCCGGAAACAAGCACGTACAAATGTGCACTTGTATGATCTGCATTTCGAAATATCGACAATTGTAACGGAACTGCAATAGGGAAATAATAACTGTATTACCAATTATAGGAGCTCAGCTCTTCGTTCTGTAATAGAATTAATAAAATGTCCCGTATGCCATCGTTAGGTTAATAGCATATTTGACTGCGTAATTTCACTTCCTGTCACACTGTCACGTGCTCGCCCAAAAATAAGCTTGTCCCTGTTTTTTTGTTTCTCCACGTGCAGATTCCAATTGTACACTCCAAAGGGTGAATCGAAGAAACTCGAGTCTTTTGTCGTTTGGTTGCTGTTTTATGTTTTTCTTGTTTTCCCGAAAACGTTCCAAAAAATGACAGCTCTGCTATACATTCGGCTAACTGTATGTGAACGTACCACTTATAACAAACCATTTGCTCGTTCTTAAACGAACGAAAGCTGGCTATACGACGGAAAAGCGTGAAGATTTCAACAATACTTTTGACTTTTACAGTCTGTTAACGGCGTGAATCGGGATTTAACTGCGTCACCCTTGTAAGGTTAGCC